GGGGGGTGGAGGAAATTGTGCAACAATGAAAGAATTTTTTCTTTTAAAGAGATAAGTGAACTGGGTGGGGAATAATTAGGGAGGAAAATGTGCAACAATGAATGAATGAATGGTAATCCAAGCTCTTAAAATCTCAATAGAAAAATTTTTAAAAATACCAAAAAACTAAAAAACTCATTGTAAGCCAGTTAGAATTGACTCACATAACTGACTCTTTTAAGGTCTATAAGTATATAGGCTCTTTTTAGAGGCTATAAATCACATAGGAGGAAACTGCCCAACTTTCTCTCTCAGAATATCCAGTGGATTTTAACTGACCAAGAGGTGCCACTTACGGACCAGTAACGCAACTCCATGTGGACTATCTTACAAGAGCTCTCTTTACAGGATAATGATGAGAGAATCCAAAGCACAAGGAAGAATTCAAGATACTAAAGAGCTGAACAGACGATTCCAAAATGCAACATGAGATGACAAAGCAAAATATTACAATGAAATGTGCAAGGAGCTGGAGTCAGAAAATCAAAAGGGCCAAACTCATTCAGCATTTCCTAAGCTCAAGGAACTGAAAAACAAATTAAAACCTAGAGTTGCTAAAATCAAGGATGCTTTAGGAAGAATATTAAATGATCCAGGAAGTATTAAAAGAAGATGGAAAGAATATACTGAGTCATTGTATCGAAAGGAATTGGCAGACACAGAAGAATTTAATGAAATAACATATGAGCAAGAGCCTATGGTGAAGAGGGAAAAAGTTCAAGCTGCTTTGAAGAAAATGGCAAAAAACAAGGCCCCAGGAATAGATGGTATACCAATTGAGGTATTTCAGCTAACAGATGCTGCCCTGGACGTGCTCACCAAGTTGTGCCAAGAAATCAGGAAAACAACCACTTGGCCAACTGACTGGAAGAGATCTATATTTGTTCCCATTCCAAAGAAGGGTAACCCAACAGAGTGTGGAAACTATAGAACAATATCATTGATTTCACATGCAAGCAAGATTCTACTGAAGATTATCCAAAAACGACTGGAACAGCACATCAGCAGAGAACTGTCACAAGTCCAGGCTGGGTTTAGAAGGGGTCGTGGTACTAGGGACATTGTAGCTAATGTTAGATGGATCTTAGCTGAAAGCAGGGAATACCAGAAGAATGTATATCTGTGTTTCATTGATTATGCAAAGGCGTTTGACTGTATGGATCATAACAAACTGTGGCTGACTCTGAGAAGAATGGGAATCCCAGAACACTTGATCGTGCTAATGCGAAACCTATACTTGGACCAAGAGGCAGTTGTCAGAACACTGCATGGTTTAAAACTGGGAAAGGTGTATGCCAGGGATGTGTCCTATCTCCATACCTTTTCAACCTGTATGCAGAGCAGATTATCCGGGAGGCTGGGCTCTATGAGGAGAAGTGTGGCATCAGGATTGGTGGAAGATCTATTAAAAATCTGGGTTATGCAGATGACACAGCCCTGCTTGAAACGGAGGAGGACCTCATGCACTTACTGCAGAGGGTAAAGGACTCCAGCCTTCAGTACGGATTGAGGCTCAATGTCAAGAAGACAAAGATTCTCACCACTGGACCAACTGGCAGCATCAGGATGGATGGTGAAGAGATTGAGATTGTTCACAGCTTTAGTTTGCTTGGCTCCATGGTCAACACTCTTTGCACCAGCATCCAGGAAATCAAAAAACATATTGTGATGGGAAAGTCTGCTGTTAGGGACCTCTCCAGGGTACTGAAGAGCAATGGTGTCACTCTGGAGACTAAGGTGTGTCTGATACAGGCTATGGTCTTTGCAATCACTTGTTATGCATCAGAGAGTTGGATAATGACTAGGGAGGATAGAAGGAGAATTGATGCCTTTGAGCTGTGGTGCTGGAGAAGAGTATTGAATGTACAATGGACTGCCAAGAAAACAAACAGATTCATCCTAGAGGGGGTTAAACCAGGCTGCTCCTTGGAGGCAAGGATTCTGGGGCTTCGTCTGATATACTCTGGACATGTTGTAAGGAGGGACAGGTCCTTGGAGAGGGACATCATGCTTGGGAGGGTGGAGGGACAGTGTAGGAGAGGAAGACCCTCTATAAGGTGGATTGATTCAGTGACTGGGGTAATTGGGATGGGTATGTCAGAGACAGTGCGATTGGCACAGGATAGAGCAGGGTTTAGGGCTGTTGTACATAGGGTCGCTATGAGGCGCAAGCGACTCGACGGCACATAACAACAACAACAACAACAACAACAACAACAAGGTCCTATAGTGATTACTTTTATAAAAAATAATGCATGGGAATGATTATATGAGACAATATGAATGAAGAATAGAATATATTGAAACACAACGTATTCAAACTTTGTAAGCAAACCAATATAAAATGATAAAAAGGAAAAAAGTATGAAAAGAGCTCTCTTTAAAATAATTGTAAAAGGGTATAATAAAAGGTGATATTACTGCCTGCAAATCACAGCATATTAATGAAGCCTAATAAGATTTATTCTCTAAGTATAATATTTCACTTGGTTTAATAGTTCAGAATTGTTTGTAATACTAGCCTACAGAATATTAAGTAAAATATCCTTCTAAAATTAATATTACTTCATTCCATTTGAGCTATGAATTTTAAAAGAAATTACTACTCATGGCCTGCACTGTCAAACTTTTGAAAACTACTTGGTCTGGACTGAAGATGCAAACCACAGTATTTATGATAATGACTTTCTTTGGAAACAGAGTCTTTGTAGATGTCAGTTAAGATGACAATATGACTGGAATAGGGCGGTCCCTCCTCCCATGTGCCTACTGTCCATACGAGAAGAGGAGATGAGCTAGAGACACACATTCAGAAAATATCATGTGACAACAGAGGTAGAGATTGAAATGATGTCTACAAATCAAGGAACATTAAGTACTGTCTGCCAGCAATGCAAAAAGGAAGGGCAAAGCATGGAACAGATTCTCTCCTAGAGGATGGCCCTGCAAATACCTAGATTTTACATTTTTAGCTTCCAGAAAAAACCTAAATTTCTATTGTTTTAAGATACTTTATGTGTGGGATTTCATTATGGCAGCCCTAGGAGTCACTGCAGTGACTTCAATATGGATTGTATCTCAACGTCAACCAAAAATTCTCCCCACTGATAGATGATAGATCATGAGAGACGAAGAAAAGATTGAAAACTGTCAAACATTTCATGTTACTTGGAATCACAATCAATACACTTGATATCAGCAATCAGGAGATCAGATGTATCGCAGTGGGAAAGTCTGTACCCAGGGCATCTCTAAATTATCGAGAAGCAGTGATGTGAATTTGAGGACTAAGTGGCGCCTGATTTAGGTCATTTAGTCACTTGCTGTGCACGTGAAAGCTGGACAATAAATAAGGATCACAGAAGAAGAACTGATGCCTTTGTGGTGTTGGAGAAGATTACCAAATATCCCATGGACTACCAAAAGAACAAACATACATGTCTTGGAGAAGATGCAACCAAAGTGCTCCTTGGAGGCAAGATGAAAAAGGTTCATCTCATACTTTGGCCATGCTGCTAAGAGAGGCTGTTTCTTGGTGGGTGACATCATGCTTGGAAAGGTGGAGGATGGTGAAGGAGAGGGAGACTCTCAACCAGGTAGACTGACACAGTGACTGCTGCCATGGGCTTAAGTGTGTCAGAGATTGTAAGGATGGCCCAGGACAGGACAGTGTTCAGATCTGTCATTAATACTGTCATTATGAGTCATGCTTGATTTGGCAGCACCTAACAACAATAACAACAGCAATGAAGAATCTAATGTATCAGTTAATAAAAATTAACATTATCATGAAGAAAATCAAAGATACATTGAAGCTTTATTCACAGTACTAATTGGCTTCTCAAACATCAACCTCCTTGAGACCTAAAGAACTAGATAGTGCTTCGTTTCTGCTGCTGACTGCTGTGAAAGGAATGACAATTGGGGGTTCTGGATATAGTGGGATTTAACTATGGAACAAAAATCCCAAGTTAAAATAATAGCCAGGCTTACTAGTCTGTGGAGAATGGTAGAAACCTGGGACTATGGCTCTTAGCCACCCTTTGAGGCAAGAAGAAAACTCATAAGCCTGTGTCACAGCTTTTAGCTAAACAATAGACAGGCCTATAAGGTGAACAGTAACACAAACAGGTTCATCCTGGAGAGGGTGAAACCAGGATGCTTCTATGAGGTAAGGATTTTGAAGGAATCCGACATACTTGGAGCATGCTGCAAGTAGGGACCAGTTCTTAGAGAGGGACGTCATGCTTGTGAGAGGAAGACCCTCGATGAGATGGACTGACACAGTGACTGGGGTAATGGAGGTGGGTGTGAGGGAGACAATGAGGCTGACCCAGGATAGAGCAGGATTCAGAGGTGTTGTACACAGGGTCTCTTTGACAGGTCTTAACACCATCACCACCACCACCACCACCAAAGTACTCAGTCCTTAGAACAAGAACAAGAAACCATATTGTTCATTAAGTTAATCTACATTGTTAAAGGGGGGGGGATAAAAAAGACAGTATTTTCTCAGGGATAAAGCTCAGAAGGCAGGAAAGATGAGGATATAAGAATGAACAGAAACAAGGGCTGAAGGAAGAAAATACTGTTACAATGTGGGATTGTAAGGAATGTCCTAAAACAAGGCATGAAAGGCTGAGTGAATACCAAGCTGCTCTGTAAACTTTCACTCAAATCACATAAAACATTTGAAAAAAAACTAACAGTAAATACTTGATATTTTAATCAAAGCTTCATATTCATGGAAACATTTCCAAAGTTCTTCTATAATGCTGATAGTTTCTGGCCTTACATAAGTATTGTTTTAAACACTCAACTATTGTGTCAAAATGTGCCATAAGTCCTTCTACCAGCTCATCTCAGCCGTGTGTGTGTGTGTGTGTGTGTGAGAGAGAGAGAGAGAGAGAGAGAGAGACAGACAGACAGACAGACAGACAGAGAAAGGCTGCCCATCTTACCTTGAATCAGTGGAAGGTAAGGGTGATACTGATCAAATTCTCCACTGAAGACAGCAAAAGCCTGGCGCTTTAACAGCATGGCTTTTTGCTCAAAACTTGAGAAAAGCTTTAAAGAACTGCTTTGCATGTCTAGAATTAAAATAGTAAATTAAATGACACTTAGTAAGAAAAATATACTAAGAATTAAATCACAGGAAATTCACAGTGTAATTCCTATCTTCCCGGGTGAAATGATCTTGTTGAAAAGGGGGAGGGGGAGGGCAAGGTTAAGTGATTCCTAGTCCTGTGTGATTTTTTTTTTTAAAGTGTTTCTTTTTTTTCAGTAATACTCAATGTTAGAAGTGGGCAGGCAGTACATAAAAATACTCCCAATACATCATGATGAACTTATTTCTAATACCAAAGTCAGGACTTAATTGTGGTTGCATTTTATCAACTCTCTTCATTACAAAGTGCAAAGATGGTTATTCTTAAAAACAGACCAGGCTAGAGACGCTCATTCATTTATTCCTGCTTTACACATATCACATCACGATTTGAGGGTGTAGATGGCACCAAAAACTGTTTTAAGTAGTCTTTTAAGTGCATAGTAATGTCTGGGTATCATATGCAAGTAATGTAGAACTTACTCATTAAATCTTTAAACATGGTTCTTTCATGAGCCAGAAGATGGTCAATAATGGACCTCCAACTAGATATTAAACAAAGCAAAGTCAATGAAATATATAATGGATGGTTGGTTGATCAAGAGCATCAAGACATTAAGGTTCCCCTTTAAGATCTTGGAAAGACTACTTTCTGAAAGAGGTTAATGAAACAAATAAATATCTGTTGCAAAACAGAAAGTTAAAAATAGAAGCTTTTCATTTGTAGGCACAAATGTAAGAGAATGAAAAACAATCTTCCCTGCAACTTTGTTAAATTGGCAAGGTTCTCTGTTTTTTTAAGGGTTACCCTCACAAATGCTAGAAAGTGGAGACAAACACCAACATTTATCATGTCTCTCCAGAGAGGTAATTTTGAAATGGGGTCCTCAGCACAGAAACAGGAAGGCAAGGATAAAAGCCCCAGGCCATACCCTAAGGCCCAATCTCCCTCCATCCCTGTGCCTTTCCCATCACTGACAGAAACCTGCCACTAAACCCGGGCAAAGGCACTGAGTGGCTTTATTGACCTCCCAGCAAAAGCAGCAGAATGTACGTCTTGTACTTGTACCTGTATTTACAGGAATCCTCACTGCCAGCCCTGGCCCTCCCAAGTATGGAATTTGGGCAGGTGGAGATATAACCACCACCAGAATCACTGTCATTTTAATGCTGGGCAAATATGGTCTCAAAATAAAGCAGACCCAGTATCTCCCTCTCTCTCAATGCCGATAAGTAGGAACCTACTTCTAGCTTATCCTCCACTGAGTTTCCAGGGTTGTAAATGTCACAGGAGGGGACTGCCCATCTTTTCCCCAAGGAGCCACTGGAAGAATCAAACTACCAGAGAAGCATGGCCTTTGAGCTAGCAGTGAAACTCCCTAAGAATTATGTCACCTGAGCTCCCTTAGACCAAGTGCCAGTGAAACTCAGCATCAAGCTCTTTAGGGATGGTACAAAAGGCCACGCTGGTTGCTGTGAAGTCAACTCTGACGTCGGACGTGCCATGTGGGTCGGAGCAGAATGACTCCGCGGCTGATACTGTGGAAGTATGTGGCTAGGACTTTCTCCTGGGAACTTCGGGGTGGATTCTAACTTCCAGCCATCAGCAGCCAGCCTTGCTCTCTGTGCCATTCAGACTCCACATGCTCTCTTAAATGAGAAATTAGGTTTTTTGACAAATGAAACATCTTTTTATAAGCCACCTTTGCCTTTTAAAGCCTGGCTTCCCTTCTCATAAACAGCCAAGTGTGCAAGTGAGTAATGGCGCTGATACACTATTATCTGGGTTGATATTATACAACTCTTTGCTCCTGCTTTGGGGATTAGGGCAAATGGTGTAAATCACAACACTGTGTCCTCTGGGAGATTCGGAGCACCTTTCCCTCCCTCCTCATGTCAGTCGGGTAAAGTGCAAGGTTTAAAGGAGGTACATGTCATACAAAAGCATGAGCACTCAATCATCACACTTATGAACCAAAAAGGGATCCTGGAGCACATTTGTCAGCGTGGCCTTTCTTACTGAATACAGGAGTTATCCATCTGAAAGAAAGCTGGGTCCAAAAACAAATCCAGGACCTCTTTCTTCCAGGCTCGTTTCGTGTAGGAATAACCGCTCAGGGCGCTCAGGAGCTGAGCTCCAGCACGGAAGCTGGGAGCATTGTAGGTACTAAACAGGGACAGGAAGAGACAGGGACAGGGTTAAAGACAGTCCGAGGAAAGCCATTTGATTCTGTTCTTTACATATCTACGTGCCTGTATTTCAATACACATGAAAAGATCACCTTACCTGTGGTTGCGCAAGTAAGGAAAAACATAATAAAGCAAACGTGAGATTAATGGCACAGCCTTTTCTTTTTCATCACTCCGATAAACCATGTCCAGGAGAGATGCCAGAACCTAAAAATAAGAGACAGGAAGAAGCTGGCACTCTTTCTCTCAAGAAATGCAGTTTTCAAAGCACAACATCAAGAAATTCCCTAGTGTAGCTTTGGTCTACACTGACTCAAACTGACCTAGGAGGGGCCTCGGCACACCATGAGCCTGGAATCTGTTAGTCTTCCTCAAAATGAACATTTGCAGAAGAGGTGACAGATCACGTGTGTGCTTACCTCTGCCAGGAGAGTGAGGGCCTGGACGCTGTACACAGAAGGGGCAGATGCAGACACCATCGAAGACACTGCAGCAGCTTCCGCTGCAACAGAAGCATGGGCATTTCAGGTGTGGTGGATAAGCTGGTTTTCACTGACCCCAAAGTATCACATGAACTGGAATCACAAGCTCCAACTTTCATTTTGACTGTGCATACAACTTAACAGTTGTTATGTGCCGTTGAGTACAACAGGTCTGAACCCTACTCTATCCTATGTCAATCTTATTGTCTCTGACACACCTATCTTCATTACTCCAGTCACGGAGTTAATCCATCTCATAGAGAGTCTTCCTCTTTTGTGCTGTCTCTCCACCCTCCCAAGCATGACATCTCCCTCCAAGGACTGGTCCCTTCTCGCAATATGCCCAAAGTATATCAGACAAAGAAGTCCATGGTATGTTCAATACTCTTCTCCAGCACCACAGCTCAAAGGCTTCAATTTTCCTTCTATCCTCCCTAGTCAATGTCTAGCTTTCTGATGCATAGTAAGTAATTGCAAAGACCATGACATGAATCAGTGCAGTGTAGTCTCTAGACCGACATTGTTGCTCTTCAGTACTTTGGAGAGGTCTCTGACAGCAGATTTTCCCAGTGTAATTTGTCTTTTAATTAAGGTGCACCTGATACAGGCCATGGCCTTTGCTATCACTTGTTATGCATCACAGAGTTGGACAAAACTAAGGAGGATAGAAGGAGAATTCATGCCTTTGAGCTGTGGTGCTGGAGAAGAGTATTGAGGGTACCATTGACTACTAGGAAAACAAACAGATTCATCCTGGAAAGGGTCAAACCGGGCTGCTCCTTTAAGGCAAGGATTCTAAGGCTCTGTCTGACATACTTTGGACATGTTGCAAGGAGGGACAGGTCCCTGGAGAGGGACATCATGCTTGGCAGGGTGGAGGGACAGCGCAGAAGGGGAAGGCCCCCCTCTGAGGTGGACTGATTCAGTGATTGGGGTAATCGGGATGGGTGTGTTGGAGATGGTGGGACTGGTACAGGACAAAACAGAGTTTAGGGCTGTTGTACATAGGGTCGCTATGAGTCACAAGCGACTCAATGGCACATAACAACAACAACAACAACAACAACAACAACAACAGTACCAAAAGAGTGTTGATTGTGGAGCCAAGCAAACTGAAGCTGTTAACAATTTTAGTCTCTTCATCATTTATCATGATGCTGTCAATCGGCACAGTGGTGAGAATCTGTTTTCTTGATGTTGCGCTTCAGTCTATATTTAAGGCTGCAGTCCTTGACCTTCTACAGCAAGCGCTTCAGGTTATTCTTTGATCAAATACACAATTTCAGGAATTCAGAATATGGACATTTTGATCAAATATGCATTTGCATTCAGTCTTCCTTCCATGTCCATCCTCACTACCATTCTCGGCAGTTCAACATCACCTTGGATGACTCATTTAATATCCGGGGCTTTGAGCCCCTTGGCATTTTCTTTTCCAAAAATCTTTCATTCTGCTCTTATTCAGCTGTTTGTTGCCACAGTTCTACCTTCAACTTCACCCATTTCCAGGAGCACCACAGGAAAATCTCTATCAAGCATCCTACGTTGACCACCACACATCTCTTCTCTGCGTGCTCATTCTCGGAACCCCGTGTAAGCAATCTCCTGAACCCACTAACCCCTGCTCTACTCTCCTGCCTGTCAGTGTGTCAGGTTTCCACTTCTCTCCCTGCACACACACGCCTCTGGGGCCCATCAACTACCCTGCCAACAACCTTAGCACCTGTGCTTCTCTCTCCCTCTGAAGTCTTCGTCTAAGCAAAGGCTAAATGCTAGAGTCTGTCTCCACAGTCCCCGCACAGCTAAATGCTCCTGGAGAAAATCACCTCACTACACAACTGATCGGACTTTCTTTACATGACTACGGACCTTGAAAGAGATCTGCCAGGTATTCCTACTACATGTTTCTGAGCAGTGTGCAGGCTCTCCCTGCTCTTTAACACAATTCTTTCACATCTTCACAGGCCCCTCAATCTCCATCAGCATCCTCCACTCTTCTCAGTTGATAACATCACCTCCTATTTTCCAAGAAAATGCTATTAAGTGGCACTCTTCTTTCCACCATGAGTCACTTACTTAGAGCACTCTTATCTACTCCATCTTCAGTTTCAACAGGCATGACTCTGTCTCCTATCAACAAACAATAGTTCCCTTGATGATGTGGATCTTGGCTGTATGGTCTTCAAAGGACTTTGCTTTGTAATTGCCCTTTCTCTCTAGGATTAAGTTTGTCTTCTCTGTTGCATTGTTTCCACCAAGAGGCTTTGATATACTGCAATGTAAAAATAAAACAATACAAACCATCCTTTGATCTTTAGCCTCACTGCTGGCTCTTTCCAAATTAAGCTCCAAAGAGTTTTCTGCTCTGTCTCCACTTCCTCACTCGTCTTTTCTTTTCTACTCCTCTGTCAAGCTTTTCCCTTCCTCTCATTCATGCTGCCCAATTCGGTGGGTCTTTGTCCTTATCTGACTCTGCTTCTTGGCCTTTACTTTATTTCTCAGTAGCCCTCAATTTGGTTATCTGGTCCTTTTTAAAAATTTTTTTTTTCTGGTAGTTACGATAACTTGAGGCTTAGCTGGTTTCTTTCCTACCTGTTGAATGTTTAAGGTCTTTTTAAAAAATTTTATTATTTTTGTGTGTGAACCATCAAATCAGTTCTGACTAGTACAGAAGGACATTGTCTCTCCTTCTCCAGCAGAGCACCTGGTGGATTTGAACTGCATGCCTCTGGGGAATGCTTAAGGTCTTTTTCTGGCTCCATGTCCTTTCCAGAGATCAGGCATTTAATCTGTGCAAAAGTGAACTCAATTCCTTCCTCCAAAAATCATCTTCCCTTAGTCTTTCACATCTCAAAATATTACTTAATCCAAAAGCCATCCTTGATTGCTCTTTTTCCTTTATTACTCACACACCCAATTCCCTGGTAGACCCCGCTGATTCTAACATTTAAATAAGACCCCTTCTAATACCAGTCTCCCCACCAAATGATCTCGTGCTCAAATTGCTGAAATAGCCTTATAGAGGGACTTCCAGTCCATATTTGTCATGGCAGCCCAAGTGATGTTTTCTAATGATCGAATAAGATCATGCCACTGCCCTACATACTTAAATAGCTTCCCATAGTCATTAGAATAAAACCTAACCCTCTTGCTATGCTCTGTCAAGCTGGCCACCTTCAGTCCCCACTTCTCTCTGAGGCTCTCCCACCATTCCTGGGAAGCTCCAGCCTCACTGGCCTCAGCCCACTGGCTGCCTCTGCTCTGGGCCCTTCCCAGATCTTTGTATGACTGCCTCCTCTTGTAATTATTGGCATTAGTGTCACTTCCTTAGGCATAGGTTCGATAACATAAAAAAGGCCTCCTCCATATCCTGGTCACTTTTTATGACATTGCTCTTATTTTCCTCACAATACTATGTATCACCTGAAGTGCTCTGCTTATGGATTGACTTTATTTTTCTATACCTCTCCTATCCAACAAGAAGCTACAGCTTTAGTAAAATCAGTTGCTAGGAACAGTACAAATTTCAACCTAAACTTAAGCTATTTTTTTTAAACACCAAAAACAAAGGTCCTCATTTTTCAGATGGTTGCACTCCACAATAGCGTTTACAAGCAATATCACTGTTGTTCTTCAGGGCTCGGACAGCTTTGCTCTTGACATGCTTATTTGTGATATGACCAAGTCAATGCCCTTAAATTCCACACTTGTTTCATCAACCTCCTTTTCTTCATTTACCCCATAAACAGTTAGTTGGAGATTGTATGTTTTCTTGAATGTTTGAATGGGAACAGCTTCACCTGGGACTCTGAATTTCTCTGCAGCGACTAGCTGTGCTTGCTGAGATAAATCCTCAATCATGGCTTCACCAAAACCCACGTTAAGTATCTGAAGCTGGCCTCTTATAAACATCTTCAGGATGGCAAAAGGGGCTTGCTTAGCTTTCTGGATAGTGACTCTAGTAACCCAATGGCTTGGGAAAGGCTCATTTTGAGTATAGTCTTTCATACCTTCTTTTTTACTCCATTTTGCTTTACTGACTGGTTCTTCTTGATTTTAGCTGCTATTGCAACCACTTGAGCTTGCTATGTGGTTGTCTGTGTGGAATCCTGTTTCTCCAGCTCTGGTACTATCCATCGCTGTGCAGACCCTGGCTCAGTCTGGTTTCTGTGGCTTCAGTAGGCATTTTATACAGGGCGTTCCCAAGAATAACATAACCCAATATACTACAATTATATTATTAGAGTAATAATTATATGACACAAAAGAATATTACTTGACATGCCAGGAAATTTTTACTGCTCCTATTACTAATAAAGTTATGGCTTCCTGTTGATGGAAAAATCAAATCAATCAATCAATACCCAGGAGTACTTCAAGTAATACACAGCATTGTGAGTAATATTTCTTGACAACCCAGGAACCAAGATGATGGCAGTAGATAAACAGTGATTTTTAATTTATTTTATTAAAGAAGAGCAAAGATATCAGCCTAGAGACTAAGGTGCACCTGATTCAGGCCATAGTTTTTTTCAGCTGCATCACAGTTGGACAAAGATTAAGAATTACAGAAGAATAATTGGTGCCTTTGAGTTGTGGTTCTAGAGAAGAGTATTGAACATATCATGGACTATCAAGAGAACAAACAGGTCTGTCCTAGAAAGGGTAAAACCAAGTTGCTTCTTGAAGGCAAGGAATCTGAGACTTTGTCTCACATACTTTGGGCATGTAGGCAGGAGGGAATAGTGTTTGGAGGAGAATATTATATTTGGAAGGGAGAAGGGACAGTGCAGGAGAGGAAGAACCTGGATGAGATAGATTGACATAATTAATGAGAGTAGATGTGTCAGAAAGAGTGAGATTGGCTGAGGATAAAGCAAGGTTCAGAGCTATTGTGCACAGGGGCACTAGGAGTCATAGTTGACCCAGCAGCACATAACAACAACAGCAACAATTGGCAAGGAATGAAAACCTCTTCACATCCTCACCAGCACTTGATGTTTTCAGCATTCTGTATTTT